GCCATCCCATTATTTACGCTCTCAATAAGGAAGTGACATGTCTAGGGATCCGACGAGAACATTTGGAATGAGAGCCGGTGAGAGTCGGTTGAAGTCTGGAGCGAGCATCGCACGAGCGACACACTTTTCTTTCTTTCTTTGTCGGATTGGATGCGAGGAGATTAGCAAAGACGGGATGCAGGCGCGCATCTTGGGAAAGCAAGCAAGAGGTGATAGTTGCAGGCTTGCGGCTCATTTGCTCTTGTTGAGGCCGGCAGACGAAAACGAAGGGCGGACTCGGAGATGGAGGAGGGACGAGGTGGTGGAGAGGCAAAGACGATGATAATGACGATGCTTTCAGATGGTCAAAATGAGCCGGTGGATGTTGAAGGAGAGTCAGTCGAACGTTTTTCTGGCCCATGCTCCGTCAAACAAGACCTGTGGTTCCTGGTCTTGAACATGCATCATCGTGAAAATGCAGCGATGGCGTTTCCGAGGTACAAGACAGGTAGGTGCAGCCTGCCTACGAATACCGGCCGACGGTGGGAGCTCATCTCCAGTTCTCGGCAGGGAGGCACCCTGTACCTCTATGCCGTGACGCCATTTCGCGTTGAGATCGGTACGTATCGGAACTCCCGCTGGACGTACCCCCCAGCTCGTGTACACTAGGCAGGAACAGGCGTCGGCGGCGTAGGGTACCGTAGTAGGGCAGCTACGAATACGTACGTCTTTTGCTTAGCGGTTCTCTCCCGCCCCCGTAAGATCTGCCCGAGGGATTGGCCCCCTGCCCTGTGTCGAGGTACAGGCGTGACAGGTCAATCTGTGAATGAGTTGTGCCGAGAGCAGAGATGGATGCATGCATTGCAGGTACCCGCACCTTTCCTTGTCAAGAGCGAAGGACGTCCATTGAGTGTGCTCCGAAGTGTATAACGCCAGGTTGTCGTCAAGGCGAGGGGTGGTGCATAGCATTTTGCGGAGAGAGAGAGAGAGAGAGGTCCAAAGACGGAGCTTCGATGAGAGCAACAACAAGGTTTTCAAGACAGCCGGGGGAGGGGAGGGGCTTGGCTTGAGGCAAGGGCCAGGATGGGATGCCTTCCCTGTCAGGGCAAGTCCATGGATGAATGTCCGTCGTCCGTTGCTGGACTTTGCTCACATGAATTGAACTTGTGCGTACGTAATGTAGCGCCTGATTACCAAGGTGGCCTGGGGCTATGCCCCGATTGTGTCCTTTCCTCGACGGAGCACACTCCATTCCTTCGGTTGGGTATGAATGAATGAAGGGAGTAGAAGAAAAGAAGAAAAGGCGGACAAGGGTTTCCTTCCTTCCCATTACAATGCATGCTAGGTATGTTCCCTCGGCAATCTCAACGGAAGAGGGAAAGAAGTAGCAAGTGGGCGGAAGGCACTTGCATGCCTGCCTGTCAGTCTGCCTGCCGCCTGCTTGCTTCGGTCCTTCCTCGAGGATCTCTTTCTCTCGTCCTCCCCGGGGGTTGGAGTACTTGTACTCCCCGGGTTGCCAAATATGTACGTCTACATACTCACCAGGCAGGTCAGCACTTGCCGCAACAGTCAGCCTCCAATTGCGCGGTGCCTCTCGGGTTCTTTCCATTCCTGCCCACACCTCCTCTCCGGCGCCCTGTCTTCCCTCATTCGCTCGCCCGCCGATCTGTCTCAAAGCCGCGATGGATGGATGCCCCAGGCCACCCACATGACAAGCACGCAATGAGATATATATCGGGGGATGACTGATTGGGTCAAGAAGATGGAAAAGACAAGACAACAGTAGCAAAGCAGATTCAAATAAATCGAGATACTATGCGTTCTTGAGTAATGGGTTGTGCATGCTTCCGTCCGTAGCCCGAGTTCATGGACCATGTATAGTGCTTGTACCTGGCGAGCAGTTCGCTGGCGTCAGTCCGTCTGTTGCCGGCGTGCTTTCGAAGTCGGCGGTCCCTTGTTCTCTGTAGGTTTCGTTTCGTTCGCTTCGCTGGTGCAGCCACAGCTGCTGCCCAGCTCAACGCACGGCATCAGCACCGACGCCGGGCCCACCCAATCTAGCGCCGCTGGCACATCGACGAGCAGTGGCCCATTCCATTCCAGTCCGTATCTGCTGCGTCGACTGCTCTGTTTTTGTTCTTACTCCCTGCTATGTGTCCACCAAGGTAGTGTGGTCTACCTAGGTAGTCAGCACATGATGTACTTCTACAGTATATGTACCTCCTTTACCTTGGTACCTGTGCAGGTAGCAAGTATCCTCCTGCCCCGGAACAGATTTGCTTTCCCATCCCCACCGGGAGGGAACACGTCTGTCATGGGCATGGAAAGCGGAAAGACAAATAAACAAGATATAGGACAGAAGGGGAGAAAAATCCCAGAAAAACAAAACGTGGTTGCTTATCCCTGGTCGCCAAAGTCCGTCTTATTATAGCCCTCGCATGCTTTTTGCGGCTGCAAAAAGGCGCGCATCAGCTCTTGCCGTATCACTATTAAACTATCCTTGCAAAGATGACAAGGTACCTCTGCATGCCTCGTCCTTTCCTCAGCAGTCTTTTTTTCCGATCTTGGATGCCCCTCGTCCCACACCCACGCATCCATCCATTACCACGACCGTACTCCGTACATCGTACCGACGTAGGTAATGTGGTGTACGTAGCTTACCACAGCAGCGCACATACACACACAATACGAATCACACGCCCCCCCTTACCCTTTCATTAGCTACTTGCTACCTGCGTAGAGTTCAGGTCGCGCGCCCTTTCCTTCCCTTCTCTTCCCCTCCGCCGACAAAAACCCACATTCTATGAGTGCGTGCGGACGTGCGCGTGTATGTGTGTGTGTGTGTGTGTGTGTGTGTGTGTACCTGTTCCCCATCGCTGGAGAGAGAGAACCCGGCCTGCCTTACCGTGTGGTCTCCCTCTGTTCTTTCCCTTCGACTTTTCTTTCCCTTCTTCCTTTTCCACCTAACCCCCTCCCTCCCCTCTTGCCCACATCGATTCTTCTCTTTCTTCCTCTTTTTCCTTTAGAGTTGCACCTCTCTTCCTCTTCTGCTGCTGTCTATCTGTCTCGTCTGCTCTGCTCTGCGTTGCGCTGCGAGTTTTTTTCTGCCTCCAAAACGAAGCATCCTTTCTAGCGATTGTCTCGGTTGCTGCGAAAAAAACAAGTCGTGCTTCTTGCTGCTGCTGCTTTCGCTGCCGCGTACTTTCCCACACCTCACGTCACCACTGCCAGAGCCAGATCCCCCCCACGGCCCTTACCACCCGCCGGGAAAAAAATTCTCTGCGCGCAACTTCCTTGTCGCTTTTTCCCTCCCACGTCGTTTAACCCCCCTCCCTCCTAAATTCCCCCTAGACACGAAAACCTGCGTAATTCTTCCTCCTTCCACCCTCACCCTCCTTACGAGTCGCACGTCGGTTTTTTCTTCCTCGTCATCCGGAAACAAAGAGAGTCTTTTTTTCGTTGGCGCCCAAAAGTAAGTCATCAATGGCACCCCGTTTCCTTTGTTCGCTCCCACCATTCCCTCTCGTCTTGTCGCAGTCGCAGTCGCAAATCATGAACTCCCGGCCCTCGGCATCTTCGGCAACCCTCTGCCACGGACCTCGACGCCGCATCCCCGACTTCGGATTCACGGTTGAAACTCTGGTGGTATTGAGTACAGGCGGTGGTGGTGGTGGCAGCCATCAGAGAAAAGACAGAATTGCGGTTCGGGGTGTATCGCACAACCCCTCTATGCATCGCAGATCATCCTGGACCATGGACGTCGATCTACAACCAAGTGCCGAAGCTATTCAGCCTCGACTTGTCCTTTCCCAAGTCGTCCCCGTCGACCACTAGCTCGAGCGCACTATCATGCCTTGATTTCCATCAGCACTCGACAACGACTACACTTCGATTCCTGCCCCCGACGTCTCCGTAAGCCTCATCTTACCTCGCCCCCGTCGCCGTCCAGCACAGCTCTAGTCAGTATCCCGAAAGGCGCCGGTAGCCGGCAATGCATCTGGGTTTTGGATGGGCGTACTGTCAGTACTGTGCCGTCGGAGCATAACACCTCGCAACAGCCATGAAGCGCCGTAGATGATTCCGGAGCTTGGGCCGGCGTGGCGTGGCGGGGTGGGTGAAGGAGAGGCGAGACATCCAGCGAAGCGGCATCAATCAGCCCTGCGTGAACGTGGGATGCATGTCTCCAGTCGTGTTTACATACCTGGGCCGAACAAACCTAACACACTATGGATTTATGCCGTGGTTGAGACGGGATGCGCCAGCTTGTGTACCCAATGGCGCTGGATACACAACGACTTGAGGGTTATTGTTACGGATGGACTGCCATATCGGCCTTCAATTGTTACTCGGCTCCGCGCTACCGTCTCTGGGGTCGAGAAGTCTACGCCCAACTTCGTTCGGGAGCCATTCATACGAGGACGACTGCAAGCCTTACAACGTCAAATGCTGCTGGTGGGTCAGCTTGTTTCGGCCGTGACTGCCAAAGTCGGGCAGCGTTGGAATCACAACATCCGGACATGTTCAACACTACGACTGCGACCACGACTGCTACCTGATGCGTGCTAGTGTACCACACTTTGCCCTTGCGATGCTAACAGCCATTTAGGTCCAATCGTTTCGGATTCTTCCTTTGACCCTTTTTCGGATCAGTGAGAGTACTTGGCCACGGCGCAAATTTTGGAGACCCAAAAGTCGAATTTGAAGCATCGCTCAGTTTCTCTTGTTGGTGGCTGTACCATTTCTTGCACCAATACCCCGCGATATCTCGATCTTTCGGTTTTAAGGCGGGGCGTGCAGGCGTCGGAGAGATTCGACTTTTTACCAGAGTGCTTTTTGGTGTCTCGGTTTTGCTTCTGAATACAGGACTTTCTGTTTCGATTTTCAGGAACAACAAATCTTATTGCAGGCCGGGACAATTTAGTTCCGACTTTATTAACATTCAACCAACCCTCGAACGGTATGTTGGCCCGCTAATGGTACAATGGCTTCAATTTGCTAACCTCAAGCCAGTTTCAATCGCGAAAATGGACGGTATCAACCCCTACAACCCCGCTCAGGGCAACGGTGCCCCTCCTCCCAACGCCAACGGCGACGGCTTCGGTACTCCCGTCTCTGGCGGCATGCCCTTCCCCGGCAACAATGGTTCCGGAGAGATTCCCGGCGGTGTGCAGGCCCCTAACCAGCAAGACGCGAATAAGAACACTCTCTGGTCAGTAATGGCGCAAATCTTATTCTCGGTGGTTTTGGTCTAACAGTGGCGCAGGATGGGCGAGCTCGAGCCCTGGATGGATGAGAACTTCATCAAGGGCGTCTTCCTCACCGCCACCGGAGAGCCTGTCAACGTCAAGGTCATCCGCGACAAGACGTCTGGCAATGCCGGATACTGCTTCGTCGAGTTCACCTCGTCTGAGGCTGCCAGCAAGGCCCTCACCTTGAACGGCTCCCCCGTTCCCAACTCCAACCGTGCCTTTAAGCTCAACTGGGCTTCTGGGGGCGGCATCAACGACCGACGCGACGACCGTGGTCCTGAGTACTCGATCTTCGTCGGCGACCTCGGCCCAGAGGTCAACGAATACGTTCTTGTGTCCCTCTTCCAGGCGCGGTTCCCCTCTTGCAAGTCTGCTAAGATCATGACGGATGCCATGTCGGGACAGTCGCGTGGCTACGGCTTCGTCCGTTTCACCGATGAGCAGGATCAGCAGCGAGCTCTCGTTGAGATGCAGGGAGTCTACTGTGGCAACCGCCCCATGCGCATCTCCACGGCCACCCCCAAGAACCGGTGAGTTATTCTTGCCCTGGCGCTGTATGCACAACCCGTCTAACCAGAACAGAAGTAACCACGGCGGCCCGTACCAGCAGCAGCACCACGGCAACCAGATGATGGCTCCCGGCCTGCCTCCTCACCAGCAGGGATTCTACGGGGTTCCCTCGCCTGCTCAGTACGGCGGTGCTTATGGCGCCCCCTACAACCCTCCTGGCCAGCAGATGAACCAGTTCACCGACCCCAACAACACCACCGTTTTCGTCGGCGGCCTCTCTGGCTACGTCACCGAGGACGAGCTCCGTAGCTTCTTCCAGGGCTTTGGCGAGATCACCTACGTCAAGATCCCTCCTGGCAAGGGCTGCGGTTTCGTTCAGTTTGTCCACCGCCACGCTGCCGAGATGGCCATCAACCAGATGCAGGGATACCCTATTGGAAACTCCCGCGTCCGTTTGAGCTGGGGCCGCAGCCAAAACAACTCTGGTGTTGGTACCCCCTACCGTCCTGCCCCTCCCCCGCCTCACTACTTTGCCCCCCCCGGCCCCGGCGCCTACGGACCTGCTCACTTCGGTGCTCCTGGTCCTCACGGCCCCCCGGGACCGCAGGGCCCCCCTGGTGCCCCTCCTCAGGTAAGGTTCCCTGGGTAGCGTATTGAAACAGTATGTTGGCTAATACCCTGTGTAGTAGAGTGTTGGGTGGGACAACATGGACGGCTTATCCGCTCTCGCACGCGATATGAATATCCGAAAAAGGTATTCATGAGCTCAAGCCCTCACGATTGTCTCGTTGCTTATTCATGGAAGATTCTCTCGTCGTTTTCGCTCGCCGCCACTTTAACGATGGATACCTGGGCGAATGACACATTTCTTTGGACTTGTTTGATCTTAGGCATACGGATAGCGGTAGCGGACACGATTGTGAGATGTCACGAGAACGACGATTGCATGCTTTGCGGCCCAGCTATTTCTCTTTGGACAATCTGGGCTTGTCTTGGGCGTCGGCTTTCGGATGGTTCTCTTGACTTGGTTGCCCCTTCATTTGTCTACTTCCACACGGGACTCGCCCCAACAGAGATTTCCTAGCTTCTAGTTTTGCTTGTCGCTGTCTTTTTTTGTTCTGACTCCGTGACCATCCTGCGTGAGAATCAAGCCTGTTCTGTTCGTTCGCTTTGATGGTTGGCTGGCTGGTTGGTAGCAGTTGGTCTCGAGTTCCGAATACCCCTGTCGTTTACGTTTGCTTGTCGTCATGGGGGTGAAGTGCGTTCTACACCTCTCGTTTTGTGCGGAGTCCCTTTGCGGGCTTGTGTACTTGTCGGTTGGGTGGGGTTTGGGCTTGGGATGGCGGTTCAAGGCTGTGTTGCATCTGGACATATCGAACTCTTTCTGGGGCTTGCTGGTGTTGGCCGGGGGAGATGCGAGGCAAAACAATACAAAAAGGCTCACGGAGTAGCCCGGCGTGGACTTTGGAGAAACAAATCAAGTTGGAGATTTAGGATTCCACGGTTTGGGCGAATGGCGTTGGTGAGTAGGATGACGCCTCCGGGCCCTATGTCTGAAACCAGAATGATAGGTTCTCTCTAAATGGAACTGGGTTGTGTATAAGCTGAATTCGTAATGTCATTGAAGCATGAAGGACCAGAAGCTTGCTGATCCAGACGGACGTCGGGTGCCGTGCCGTTCCCTGTTCCCTTCCATTACTCTTTCGGGGTCACTTACCGCGCGACTATACATGGACCTGGCGGGAGGCTGGGACTGACACATCAGTACATCTTGAAGTATTGCAGACGGCCCTCACCAGCCGGGCACGGGATTGGGGTGACAAAAAGACTGCTTTCCTCGCCGAGCTGCCAGCCTGGATCCAATAGGCCGGGCATCCCGAGGCTCACTGAACAGATGTAGATGCAGATCACACGCATTCAAGAAAAAGCGTGCCTGTCTTGTTTTATCTATCCGATGTGTAGAATTGCTTTACCTACCTACCTACCAAACCCTCTTGGGAGATCGTTGTGTTAGCGTTGCTTTTCTGCATTTGCATCTCGTCGTGAGTGCATGTTGTATTAGTTTGGCCAAGCAAGCCATGCGATGCGGATGCAAGCCGGTAATCATCTGTCTGTACGATAATATCATCCATATCGGACTGTAGTATAAAAGAACGAAAAAAGAAAAAAAAAATCGCTGCGGGCAGAATGAGAAGAGAGTGAAAGACGCAAAAATGAAAGGGACGAGACTCGAACTCGCGCGGGTTGCCCCACCAGGAAACAGATGTTAAGCTGACCTTAACCTGGCGCCATAACCAACTCGGCCACCCTTCCAATGAATGTCTCATTTCTCCCACAATTCGAAATATGAATCTATACAAAACTGTCCTTGTTCACTTGCTAGTATTGCTCTGTGTTATCAAACTGCAAAACTTGAGATTCGGTGCCGTAATTGTTAGATTCCTTGTCCGATGAAGTCGGTTTGGCGCCAACTGCAGTTTTGTCTCGAATAGCGAACCGCACGTGCCAGCAGCAAGAATTATCTGCGTTCCAATCAATGTCAGCGCATCCTGGCATTTGTCTCTTTGGCTTACACGGCTACATGCGAAATGCCTGCTTTTCATGACACCTATGAAGCTCATCCACTGGCGAACAGCACCAACCATACACGACCTCCCCTCCCCTATCAATCCAAATCCTCTTGGGCGAGTGTGTCTTATCAAACAAACCGCTCGTTGAACAGGTTCACTCAGGTCGAACCTGCTGGAATACCCCCTGTGTCCGAGAAGCTTCTCCGCACGGCCCAACAACTCGTCAAGGGGGCAGCTCGGTCACGTATGCTGGACGTCATTGCACGCTAGAAGAATCCCGAAGCTGGCGCCCGCCCACGCTTCTTTCTCGTGGGATATCAGTAGTGTCTTATTTGATCGTTGCCAGTTTCCAGAACAGAGCAAGTTCTTTCTCTTCTTATATATCCAGTTAGTGCTCCTGAAACGTGAACTATATCATCCAGCCACTCCGCAAGACAGAATCAAAGAGTCGAAAGGAAGACAAAAAAAAAAAAAAAAACCGCAACTTCGTCAACATGTCTCGCGACTCCCTGGCCGCCTTTCGTAAATCGCCTCCTTCGGAGGACCTCGCCGCCATCGCCGAGAAGCACCTCGAGCATGACCTCCTCGACTCGGACCGCGACCTGCTCAAGACAGCCGCCAACAAGGTCCGCAGGCACGCCGTCATCGGCTCCGCCGTCGGCCTGGGGCTCGGCATCTTCCTCGCCTCCAGGCTGAGGCGGGCGCGCGCCGAAATGTTCGCCGTCTTCCGGGCCGCAGAGAAGCCGACGCACGTTCAGTTTGCAAATGGGAGGACAGGTCAGTGACAGTCGAACGTTTTTATTTTTTTCCCCCGCGACACAGGCTTCCCCCCCCTCCCCCCTCCCTTTTTTTTTTTTTTTTTTTTTTAGCTGACGCGCGGCTACTAGAACCCATACCTGATCTGACGGAGGAGCTAGCGCCGACAAAGCTCGGCGACTTCGCGGCGTACTCGCTGCTCGGCCTTGGGAGCCTCTTCCTGGGCGGCGAGCTCGGCTTCCTCTCCGGGACCTCGGCTGCGTCCAGGACCATCAACAGGGACCCCGTGAGCCGCGCGAGGATCGAGACCGCGTTTAGGAAGTTCAGGGCCGAGGCCTTGAGGAAGGAGGCCGACCGACTGGACGGGGGTGAGAGGATCCTCGACAAGATTTTCTAAGCTCTTGCCAGCCGCTCGAAGGGATGTTGGGGGGGGAGGGTTATCAAAAGTGGATGATTGCGAGGCAGAGCCATCTTGGAGCCTTTTCTCATATTGTACAGTTGAACTGGCGAAATATTTTGTCAAGTATCCTCGATTATTCACATGGATGAATGCCTGGATGGGAAGACTCTCCCCATAACACGGCTCATACACATGTGCAGTGTAAGGAAGCAGGAATGCATACTTGGGATAGATTATGTTTTACAAACGTGATAGTTCCGTTTCGTACCAAGCCTCAAATCACCTGCGGGCGTTCTTCTATGCACAGGATTGCAGTTTGGTCGCGGCTGCCGCCTTACCATGTACGGAATATAAGACGGTAACTTCGGCGTTGTCCGATGCGCCCTCAGGGCCCAGACCCAGCATATGGAAAAAGTTTAATAAGTTAAGTCTGGTCTCTGATCTTTTGGGCAAGGGAACATTGTCAAGCTGCTGTCCGGCAACTCTTACCCGCAAATTACGACTGATCCAGGTACTAATCGAATCCAAGCTCCTGGAACCATACACAATCTGGGCGATCCTCGTCTTTTTCATGCTTTAAACGGCTGTTCAAATTGCTTTAACCTATACTGTAACCTCCACACCCTTCATCGAGCCCTCAGCGCGCCAGTCCTCCAGGCATTTGATGAAGGCGTTCATTCCCTGCGGGAACGGCGTCCCCCTGGCCATCTTCATCTGCTCCTCCGGCGGGGCCTGTTCGCCTTCGTTGTTGAGGTAGCCCGGCGTGCAGATGGCCACGCCGGCGAACCAGGCGGCGTACTGCATGTGGAGCCCGGAGTAGCCCTCCTCGCCCTCGATGGTGGCTTCGAGGACAACCTTATCGGTGCTGTTGCCCGCCTGCTTCATCGCCTCCGCCACAATGTAGGCGCAGTGCTGGGACAGGGTGTCCTGAACACTGTTGTAGTTGGGCGTCGCGCCGACCTGCATCGGGCCGGTGAGGAAGAGGTTCGGGAAGCCGTTGGTGAGGACGCCGTGCAGGGTCGACGGGCCTTTGCTTTGCCACTTGTCGGATAACAGGGCCCCGCCGCGGCCCTTGATCGTCATGCTGGAAACGCCCGAGGGCTCGGCCATGTTCGCCGCGGGCGCCCTGTAACCCGTACTCAGCACGACAACGTCCAGCGGGTAGTCCACGCCGTCGACGACGAGTGAGCCTTTGGTGGCGCGGTCCACGCCCTTGCCGTCCGTGTCGACAAGATGGACGTTGGGGAGGTTGAACGCCGGGAGGTAGTCGTCGTGGAACGCCGGCCGCTTGCACCACGTCGGGTACCACGACTTCAGGGCGGCGGCCGTCGTCTTGTCCTCGACGACCTCGTCCACGCGACGCCGGATCCGCTCGGATATGGGCGCGTCCACCGCGAGCAGGCCGCCGATGTGACCGGGGATGTCTGCCATGCCGAGCGGCTTGTCCTGAGGGGTGGCGATGGCTGCCTTGTATGCCTTCAATGCCGTCCAGCCGTCTGCGACCAGGTTCTCTTCCGCCTCACGGCCCGATAGGTAGATGTTGAAGTTCTCATTGCGGCGCTTCTGCCAGCCTCTGCCATTGGCGATCTTCTTCCACTCCTCTGGGTCCATGGGTCTCTGGCCCTTTTCGCCCACCGACGAGGGCGTCCGCTGGAAGACGTAGAGTTCTTTGGCCCACTTAGCCAGCTGGGGCACGAGCTGAACGGCGGTGACTCCCGTGCCGATGATGCCAACCCGCTTTCCCTCCAGGCCGGTCAGCTGTGGGCTCTCGAGGTTGCTTGGGTCCCCTCCAGTAATATTGTAGTTCCACCGGGCGGAGTGAAACATGTCGCCCTCGAAGGCCTCAATATTCTTGGGCGCCTTGGGGTGGTTGAGGACGCCGTTCGCCAGGACGACGAACTGCGACCGGACCGTCATCGTGACGGGCGCCTCGTTAGGGCCGCGACCCTGCTCGATGACGACCTTCCACCGCTTCGCGTCCTCATCCCACTCGCAGCTCTTGATCTGCGAGCGGAACACGCCTTGGTCCGCCAGGCCCCACGTATCCGCCATCCGGTTCGCGTGCGCGAGCAGCTCGTTGCCGTAGGCGTATCTGTGCTTCGGCATGTACCCAGTCTCCTCGAGCAGCGGCAAGTAGATGGAGCTCTCGACGTCGCACATGAGGCCGGGGTACCGGTTCCAGTACCAGGTGCCGCCGAAACCTCCGGCGGCGTCGACAAGACGGATGTCCCGGGGCCCGAGGCCGGCTTGGACTAAGCGAATGGCGAACAGCAGGCCGCCGAAGCCGGCACCGAGCACGACTACCTTGACCTCGTCGCCGTCTGCGAGGTTGGCCGGTCGCGCGTTGAGCTCCTCGTGATTGACCCAGGGGTCTTGGGCAAGCTTGCCGAGGCGCGCGTCCATCTCTATCTCGGTGTACTGGGCGTTGCCGTCGGGCCGTTGGCGCTTCTCCTTCTCCTCGGTGTACTTTTTGTTAAGTGTCATGAAGTCCAGGGCGGCGCCCCCAGCGGGCGTCTCCGATGCGATGGGAGGGCCAGACATGATGGGCATCTAGGATGATTGTTCACAGCCTGATAGTAAGTAAAGTTGATATGAATGGTCGGGGGCTCAGGCGGATGGCAGAAACATTGACCCAAACCGGTGGAACATACATACTTAAACAGAAATGCGACGGGGACGAGCCAAGCTAGGCCGGTCCTAGTGGAATTTCGGTAAAACTGATCGATGTTCAACAAGAATACATTAAGGTTTGTCGTCCGGCCTCCTCCCGACCTTTTAGGGACCCAAGCTCGCGGCCCCAGAAAGCCTGCCGTGCGAGCTAGGAGTGCCTGTCTGCCGCTCATCATGTCAAAGTGTCATGAGTTACGGAACAGCCGAGGAGAAAAGGAGTACCCCGAAGGGCTGTCGATGGAAAATCGCTGAGTGGTGCATGGCGTTCGAGGCATGATCCCAGCCGATGCTGGGGTCGCCATGGACGTATTGGTGTTCGCTTGTCGTAACGTTTGATAGTTTGAAGTGTTACGTGTACCAGTCGAATTGCAACCTATAAAGCTTATTAACGTCACATGCGCGGAGGGGGGGGGGGGGGGGGGGCCAAGGTACTGCTGCAGCATACTTCGTCTCATCTCTTCAGCGGCAGGTAAACGAATTGTTAATTAAACCTTTCTTGGCCTCGGCTTAATGCAGATCTGACGTCGACGATCTCATGAGAACCTCACAGAGTGGCTGGCAGGCCGTTTCGAGACCGAGACCAAGACCGCGGGAGCGGCCGCTGGGAAGTTTAACAATCCACAATGAAAGAGCACGTGCAATAGAATGCCGCCGTTTTGCAACTTGCTAGCTAGACTAGGAACAGGCAAAACCCATCGCCTAAGACTGGAAGCCGCATAAGACACGAACGAGAGATCAGACAAGCTGATAATGCCCCCCCTAGTTAACCAGAGAGTACCGTGCGTTCTGGCCTGTGCACAGCTGACCTGATAATAGGTACTAAGGCCACAAGTGAAAGATATAGCTAAAAAGCAAAAGGGATAGTCTTAGCCTATCCCAACCTAGAGCGCAGAATAGGAAGTAGGGTAAGTTAGTACTATTCTAACCCTCCCTAGTAGAGCTGTTTTAGAAGTAAAACAAAGAAATAACTAATCAGAAATAGGAAGAAAAAGGTCGTGATGAACCTCAGTAGACAGTGGATTTAGTGATAACATAACTTAAAGAGGGATAGTCTTGGCCTATCCTGACCTAGAGCGCAGCGTAGGAAGCAGGGTAGGTTAGTACTATTCTAACCCTCCCCAGTAGAGCTGTTTTAGAATAAAAACAAATCTAAGAAAACTGGATTTGAACCTGTAGCCTTTAGGATATGAGGTTTATCGCTGTTATTGTGCACGGTACTCTCGGGTTGACACGGGGGGACACTATCAGCTTGTCTGTAGACTTGATACGAACGGAGTCTACAGACAAGCTGATAGTGTCCCCCCCCTGTCAACCCGAGAGTACTGTGCACGATAACAGCGATAACAGCAATAAACCTCATATCCTAAAGGCTGCAGGTTCAAATCCAGTTCAAATCCAGTTTTCTTAGATTTTTTTAATTCCAAAACGGCTCTGCCAGGGAGGGTTGGAATGGTCTAACCCACCCTGCTTCCTACGCTGCGCTCCAGGTCAGGATAGGCCAAGACCATCCCTTTTGCCTCTAGAGATAGTTGTGTTATCACTAAATCCACTGTCTGCTGAGCTTTATTGCTGTTATTGTGCACGGTACTCTCGGGTTGACTGACAGGGGGGGGACAATATCAGCTTGTCTGATCACTCATACGAACGGCACAGTCTCCAAAAAGAGTATAATCTCCTTATCTTTATTGATAGGAACCACTGACGAGGACCCCCGGGCAGCTGAAAAGCGACTCCATAGCTTACTGTGCCGCAGGTTGTCAACCATGCTGGGTTACTTATCAATGTGGCTCTACGGGATCTGCTCCGGGGTCCAGCTCCATCGCCTAGTCGGTTATCCCTCAATTCCCCTGCAATGGGGGCAGTGCTGTACCAAAACAGCTTTTTGAGCGTTTGATTCTGCTCGTCTAGTCGATTACTGCGGGCCTCTGCTAGTCTACATGAGAAGATGGCCAGAGAGTTGAAGAGACTATATGAGCAACGAAGAAGCTCGTTTTCAAGCTTGTACGAATCACACTTTTCGTGAGCCAAGTTACATGCACCTTTTGCAAGATCGCCAACCTTAATAACCATGCCATCTTTGAGCCTTCCAGACTATGACGACCTCCCGCCAGTGGAGGGCATGCCAAAAGGCTGCGCCTGGGGCGTATTTGATAAGGAAGGGAAGAAAGACGTCTATGGGACGCTGAACCTGCTCACGCCCGAAGTCATCAAGAAGGCTGGCGCGGAAATCCGCGATGGTGTCTCCATCTCCCTCAAGTAGGTCATACCTAGTGTTTCGATTGAGCAAATCACCTACCCCTAGGCCGCGAGATTGTAATCCCTGACATCGACACAGTTGGCCGTTGGATAGTATGAACAAATTCAACATCCCAGGACGTAGGCTGGCAGCGCACCACGTGCACCCCCTACAAGCGGGTGGATTGTCTTCAGGGCATGCATGGGATGACGAGTTGGAGTTCAACACCCAGGGCAGCAGTCAGTGGGACAGCCTCGTACACTGGCAGCACCAACCGACTGGTTTGGCCTACAACGGCGTGAAGCCGACCCAGGAGGCATTGTCTGCCGCCTCCACGGCCGACAACCAGATGCCGACCATTGACCGCTGGCACGAGCGAGGCGGACTTGTGGGCCGAGGCGTCCTGATCGACTACAAGGCGTATGCCGAGGCGAAAGGGATTGACTACCACCCCTTGGATGGTTACCGTATCACCGTTGAGGACATTGAGACTGTGGCCGCATACCAGGGCGTTGAGTTCCAGGAGGGCGACATCTTCCTCTTGAGAACGGGTATAACTTCCATTTTTGATAACCCTACTCCGGTCGATTTTGCGAAGATGGCGCAGATGACCATGTCAGGCGTGCATGGCACGGAGGAGACGGCCAAATGGTTCTGGAACAAGCATTTTGCCGCAGTCGCTGGCGATGCGAACTCGTTCGAGGCGTATCCCCCGTTGCATCCCGACGGCACCACGGCGGACATAGCTGGCCTCGGTAAGTCTCGCCAGTGTTCGAACGAGAGCCAACGTCTAGTCTGTCAAGCTTTTCAGCCGCTGACCATTGCCCACAGTCCTACACCCTTACTTCTTGAGCCTCTTCGGCATGCCCATCGGGGAGCTATGGGATCTGAGTCGTCTCTCGGCGTACTGTAACAAGACGGGCCGCTATACTTTCCTGCTTACTTCAGCGCCTATGAACGTTTCCTGCTTGATTGGATCTCCTCCAAACGCTCTGGCAATTTTCTAAACTAGTCAACGAACGAAAGAGTGCATTAGTCTAGGAAGTATAGAGCTCAGCGTGGGGCATCTTATTGCGCGACTTTGGAACCGGAGATCAAAAGTTCCTGGGGCTCGTCTACAGCTGTTTGGGAAAGAACAATATGCAAGTCTAAAAGTTCAAGCTTGTAGCCCACAAGGTCTGCCCGCTTGCTCGAACAAGCTTTATATTTGGCAGGTCTGGTCTCCGATGCCCTTCCCAACTGAAGGCAAGGAACCTTTCCCAAGCAAACATATTGCAAACTGCATCTCAGGAGGAAAAAAGAGTGTCGAGAGCCAAAAATAATGTCAGCCAATTTATCTTGCTACTTACCTTCGAGCACAATTGCGTCCAGATGCGAGATGCAGTCATCAAATCCGGGAAACTTGGTTGCGAACACGTGAGCACTGTGAATTCACAAAGATTTAGAGCCAACATTTACTGAAGTTGGTATTCGAATCCGTAGTCAACCGCATCCTCAGTCGGGAGCTTGTTGTGTGCCGGACCAGAAACCATGAGCACACCAGGCAATATCTCTCCCATGATCAGTATGGAAGCTTGCTCCAGGGAGATAGTACAGAACTGCATAAGCAGGAGTGCAAGTGAGTTGATCATTGTTGTTTTCATTAAGGCTGAAAGGGTATCGACGTGGTGGTATTTGAAAATCCCCGAGGAAACACCCAATAGGCAGATTATTCCAAAGCACTAAAGCTATACTTTTTATTGAGATGCCGAGTCGTAGATGAATCATAAACAAACTAAACCACAAGCCCCCCCTCACTGCATCGCAGCAAAGGCAAAGCCGGCGGCGGCAGCAGCGGCAATAGCCATGCCGGTCTCTCTGGGAGCCAAGTTCGAAGGCTCGCTGGTGATCGCAGCTAAATTGCTTGTGCACAGGTTGCCAGACTCCAGCAAGCTCTTGACTTCGGCGGAGACGGCGGGGATGTCGGTGCACTCGTGCCAGAAGTCCCTAATCTCGGACATGTGCGCGGTCTGCCACGACTCTACGGAGTTGGACCAAGAGGTGTAGACAGCGCCGATGGAGCCTGTGACGGATATGGTTGCACAAGGGTCCACGGTGGCGGTAGCGAGGTCTGCGGTAACGGCCCATTCCTCGAGCTCGAAGGGCGGTGTGGGGAGGGGGTCGGAGCCGGTGACTGCCCGGGCGAAGGCCTTGTAGGCGTTGGTGCACTCGGGCGTGCCACGGGCTTCGACGACTTTGACAATCTTGGTCGGCTCGATTCTCTTGTGGATGTTGTTGAGGTGAATGTCATTGGCGGCGACCATGGTGGCGGCGAGAGCGCCGAGGAGAGCGGTAGCGGCGC